CGGCGGCGCCGGCACGACGGGTGCGTCGCTGCGCGCCGGATTGGTGACGCTCATCAAGCCGTTCTTTGGCGACCAGTTTTTCTGGGCCAACCGCGTGCAGAAGCTCGGTGCGGGAGCGCGCGTCAACGGGCTGGGCGTGAGCGACTTCACGGATGCGCTCAAGGCTGCGGCTTCGGACCGCGTCATGGTGGAGAAGGCGCAGGGTGTGGGCGAAAAGATCCGCACCGAGGACGGTGTTGCTACGGCGATCGAGTTTCTGTACAAGAACATTCCGCTTGCCAACCGGCGTACGCAGCGCAAGCTTGAGCGCGAGGCGACGCATTCGACGTCGCCTGCGGGCACGCCTGGATCGAGCGTATTTGCCAATCCGCTCGCACGCTTTTCGTCGCACGGTCGACAGTCGAGTGGCAGCAGTCGATCCGAGCTACTGTCTTCTGGGCGCAAGGAGCCGCATCGTGCAGCGACGTTGCCCACATCGGCGGAAGAGGCGGAGGGAGCTGGTGCGGTCCCGCATCGGGCATCGACGATTGTCGAATCGCCCGCGCAGGAGTCGGAGGCATCCACGCCGCCTGCGAAGTCGGGTACGTCGTCGGCGTCGATCTTGCCGTCGCTGTCGTCGCTGCAGTCGCTGCCGGCGTCGATGGCGTCGACGCTCAAGGAGATGGTTACGCTGCAGTCGAGTACGAGCGATACCACTGCGGATGGAGACGAGGCCGGGCAAAGCGGGGCACCGACGAGGAGCCAGACAACGCCCGTGCGCACGCCCAGTGCCGACGAAAACGAGGAACAGCGACTGGCGCGGTTGAAGGGCTACAAGAACGCCAAGGCCGAGGACCAGAGGCGACGCAAGCTGCTGCTCGAGCGGCTCGAGCGAGAGAAGCGCGCCAAGGAACAAGGCGGCCATGCTGAGCAAGGAGCGGCCGAGGCTTAGATTGAGATTCCATGCGTGGGAGTCGCCTTGTGGAATTGTTGTTCAGGCTTGGAAGTGGAATTGGAAGGAAATGGAATTGCATTCAGACCCATCCGCGAGTGCAAGTGGCGAGTGACAGTGAGGGAGGATGTGAACGGATGGGCGGTAAGCGACCGAGGAGACTCTGAGCGTTAGCGAGCTGCATATGCGCCAGCGTTTGACTGCTAGCATAAGCTAACTTTGATGCGTGATGGTCGGCAGATCCGATGGATGCTGAGTGTGAGTCCGGGGCTGGTTGGTGACCGTTGTCG